GCGGGAAAGAGGAAAATTGGGACTCCGTCCCGCGTGGCTCCGGCCCAGTCTCAACCCTGTCTCTCATTGGGCCCGGTGCTGGGGTAACGTCGACTAGGTTTGACTAGAAGAAAATTGGCTGGAGATAGTAGAGAGGATTCATACTTTTGGTTTTTAATTTCTAGGCTAAATGTCGCAGGCTACCGCCCGTTATAAAGGGTATAGCCGTTAGCATTCATCCATCCATCCGGCGGAAGGTAAGAGTTCACTTTTTGGACTGTGGAATTTGTTCCCAACTGATCACAAACCGTTTCGGGTGTCCAATGAATGCTTTGGAAGTTCGATCCAGCACTCGTGCAGCAGCACCAAACAAATGTACGGCATTGTCCATCTTTGAACTGCTCACTCAAGGAGGGAAGGGGGAGGGGGGGGGGGAGGGGGGGGGGGGAGGAAGGGGGGGAGTGGGTGCCGCTAGAGGTGCACGTAACTGGGACGCCTGGTACCAGGGGCTCAGACATCATAGCAATGGAAAGCACGGGCACATTTGAATATTGGTTTTGACGTCATTTTCTCTTACCAATTTCACAATATAGAGTTGTAGTAGATCGTTTTTCTCCTCCGCTACGGTATCCGTAAAGAAAACGCCGCAGCTGCGCATGCGCGCCGCCAGCCTTGTCTGCATAGTTCAAGGTCTCGCGGCGGATTACGGAGCACTACGCGAGTGCTTAGCGGGCTGTGGAAACGGTCTGCTAAAACTCCATACTAACTCTTCTGAATTTCGCAATACTAAAGAGCGTACCGGAAATGGTAATGCCCGGTGATCCCGAAGATATATAGTTAGTTTGGGGTAGCTCAAAAAAATCGCCGGAGTGCTTGCATTTCACTCCGAGATAATTCTCCGTTGCATATAACACGGAACCCAATATAAGGAACAGCCGAGAAAAACAATCACAAATCGAAGATTTGCGCGCCGGATTGTTGTTCGACTGTAATTGGTGTTGCAATCGGCAACGGCTGTGCGGATGGCTGTTGAAATCGGCACGTCGGCCCGCCGATGGACGTCGGCGGCCTTGGTTCGTCGTCTCATGTTTCGCTCACGGGCGAGGCCCGTCGTCACGTAATTCACCGCCGAAATAACGTGACTTCGAGGCGTTTAGCCGGCCGAATGTCTGCTCTTCTTGAAACCCAAGGGAAATACCCGGGCAAGGTCAACCCAGCGGACCTCGGACCTGAACATTACGTCAAGCTCTCGCCCTGCCTGCCCCAAGACACCTGCAAGGACGACGCCTTCAAAAGAGGCTGATGCGTTGATGCATGGCGCCATCGAGTAAGACGACCTCTTCGGTGTGGCGTGCGCGGACGTGTGACGTAACTTGGACAGAGGGTCTTTCCGAGAAGGCGTGGGTGACGAAACTGGTGCACCTCCGCGATTGGTTTCCGCCCGACTGCATGGCAACCGAAATACTTTAAAAGAACTGAGCTCACCTAACTCGGAGAGCTCACCAAGATCAAGACTCATAGCTGCGGCTAGCTGCTGTATAGCAAGAGCTCATTGCTCCCCTGGCATGTAAATAAAGGAGAGTTTTAACCATCGTCGCCTGCTGAGATTCCTGCCCGGAGCTCCGTCCGGGTCTGGACCCCCACCCGAGCCTGGTCCATCTTGGGGACTCACGTCGGCCGCGACATTGGTCGGTCGCAAGCGATGGCAACCGCTGATCTGCTCCTTAAAGGGATACTTCAACGAAATTTGAAATATATCCGTCGTGTTCAAAAATAGGTTGAATATGATCCACAATATCCGTAAATGACAATCGCACGTTTGTATTTTGAGCCTGGTGGCTGTATCTTTCGTTATAAACGGCCCACTCTGGCAGGCGCTCAGAGAAGGCCCAGCGGAGACCACGTGACATCCAACGCAATCGTGACGTGGTCGTCTCGGGACGAGCAAAGCTACGGCGAGGCTGACGTCGAGAGGATGACCTAGTCGTTCCAGCCACCGAAGCGGCTGCTTTTGTACGAATTTTGAGTGACGGATTATTCTTCTATAATCTTGTAGGGGGACAATAGCGACTTCTGCGACACACAAAAGGCATTCTCGAGAAGAGGGGAGTTCCTCCTTTCCCTCTTCTCTTGTCGTGGCCGGAGGCGAGACACTCACCGTCACTAGCTGTCAAGGTTCCTAGACGGGCATTACAAGCGAGGTGTTAGCGACATCCACCAGGTGATCTTCGTTAATCGTTTAATTCGTTTCAAAATTCCTTTTCGAGACTTCTTTACAAGGTATTGGTATATTCGATGTGATACTGCTCTTTTGAACACATATAGACCGAAAAAATGAGCTCTGAAATTTAAAGACCAGTCTTGTCTCAGTCGGTCGGAGTCCAGCGCAAGTGTGTGAACGGGCCTTTCCTGCCTTGTAAGGGACCGTAAATAGCGGCTTATACCCCAATAATTCGGTCAGGATAAGATACATAACATATAGGCATCTTTGCAATCGGCGAATCAGCCCGCGCTCTTGGGTCGCGAGCATGCGCCATTGGCGGAGGATCGCGATCTGATTCGCAGTCAACCATAAAGGTCCCTGATGTAAAGGGACTTTTATGATTGTGTGCATGGGGGTACTATACTGTTTATGCCACGGTGCCTGAAACCGGCCTTTTCCAGGGCGAGGCGTGGCTCATGTCAAGTTTTGAACTAAATTTTGATGCCCGTGACGTTACACAATGTTTCCCATAAACAAAAAAAAAAAAAAAAAAAAACTTTTATTGTTTAGCTTTATTAAACGCAAAATCTTCCCCACAAACACTACTTTCGGGCAGCTACACCCATGTAAAGTTGTGTTCTTTTCCAAAACTACTTATATGCTCGATGGTGCTTTTTGGGACCGAAATGTTCGATATACTTCTTGAAACCAGGCAACTATGATAACTGTTCCCTTTCTTTTTTTAACTCCTCCAGTGACGTGGAGTCCAACGTGACGTCAATGTCACCATGGCGCGCCCGAACACCTCGATTCACTTCTGGCCACGTCGTAGAGCCATGCTGACCTTCAACTTGGGCCACAGGCGTCCCGCCTTCCAACACGTACCAGTGTTCCCTCATCATCGACCCGCGAAAACGACATACCTCACTTTCCGTGGAACGCTCACGAGTTGCCTTGTGCCTGGTTGGTTGACTGGTCGCGGCCCACATCATGGGCATAGCAATTCGAAAGGAAAAAGGTCGCGCTGATGAACATCGACCGCAGGGTTCCGGCCACGGTCCGGCTACCATGCGTTACGGACCCGAGCTCAGGCTTATCACTCCGCACACACACGCACACACGAGCGCAAGAAAAGAAACCCTCAAAATGAACTAAACCACACCCAGAAAATTGGGCCCAAAACACAGTGTTGGCCGCAGCCGCAGTCTCTCCTTAGCACCACGAATGCACAAGTAGGTCCACGATATGTACGGCCCTTTCATGGACTTCACGTCCAACGCAATCTGCACTAATCTACTTTCGCGGCAGGACCCATTTTCATTCTTTCTTTACTTTTGCTTTTCGCTTGCCGGAGCACGGTGTCGCTTGGATAGACGCCGAGGCTAGGCGTCCATTAGTGGAACTGCGTTGCTCCGCGCGTGCTTTAAGCCTAACCGAACTTGTCCACCAGGCGGAACGGTCACCTTCAGGCCGCTGCGCGGCGGAGCCGTGTTGCGTTCGTCGCTGGTTCCTCTGCGGCAGACTGTTTGCCAACGGGTTAGCAACAAATTGTACAAAAAAAAAAAAAAAGTGTAATAGGAGTTAGTTAACGAGCTTCGATTCATGATACACCTTTGACTTTCCAGCGTGACGTTTGGTATGCGGCACGTGTGACTATTTTGTTTTTCGATTTATACAAATTAACAAAAAAATATTACCTTTTTTTCCTTTTTTTATATAGCTTAGTGACATACACGTCGTGCCTGTATGCACAGAAAATTGAAAACGGTGGGAGTATAAAAATAGCAGAAACACACAATGAAATACGTGAGGTTTCTTTTCCCTTTGCGCAATTAACGGTCCTCCGCAGTTGTAGAAAAGAAAAAAAAAAAAAAAAAGACATCAACAACAAATTATTTGAGAGGATAGCTTGGAGGCATTTCAGTGAACTCGATATTTGTCAGTACCTTGTTTGCACTCGCTTTCAATAAAACAAGAAGAGGAACACATTTTGTTTTGTCGAAGACGGAGCGGCTGGTCACTGGTACTTCTAAGATCTATGGTTGTCTTCGACATATCAATGAGTATGCGTGTTGCATATATATATATATATATATATATATATATATATATATATATATATATATATATATATATATATATATATATATATATATATGCAACACGCATACGATGACAACAACCGTTGCACAAAGGCAATGAGCGCCGGGACGATGGCCTTTTGGCGCTGCTCGATTGGGCTCATCAGTTCGTACCTTTGGTTACGATCGGACTTAATGGGAATGGAGTATAAGATGACACGAAAAGCCTCTTGGGAAAACCGTTACCATCGTAAACGCCCGCTAAAAAAAAAAAAAAAAAAAAAGAAATATGTTTACAGTTATGGTTTTTGATTATCTGCTTCCCCTTCGGGGTCCTAACTTGTTGATTTCTGGGAAACAAAGCTGGAATTTTAAGAGTTCCGTCGTACGCGAAACAAAATGTAAAACAAAATTATAACAAAATAAACACTATGTCGGTATCGCAGCGTTCAAGCCACACAAAAAATACCACCCTCAATCCTAAAGAAGAAAAAAAAAAACAAAAAAAAAACGGGACCCATAGAGCAAAAAAGAAATAAAAAATAACGGGACATTTCAGATGTTCCCGAGGCCAAGCTAGCCATGCCGAGCATAGCAATGGCACCCGAACGTTGTCAGTCAACCATGACGCCTCCCTCCCTCTCTCTTTGCTGACGTATTTGAGAAGTGAACCAATCGCGTCTCTCCCTCGTCGAAAAACAAGCCCAGAATTGTTCTCCCAGCTCTGCGCAGTCCCCGCTCATTCTGGTTGCTCCCTTGCTCCTGTCGTGCGGTAAAGTTTCCGAAGTTTTCATAGGAAATTCCTCTCAAGTTTCCGGAGAAGCGCATCGGCTCATCTACCGGCGTACGGCAACCCCAGTCTCTGTGAGTTTTGAGCCGGGTAGGGTATGAGCAATCCAGCGAGCAACTTGGTGGAAACATCGCGACCGATCAGCGGTCGAAGACCGCGAAGTTCAGCGCGTCCAACGAGCGGCGGGCGACAGGCCTGGAACACCGCCCAGCTCACCCGCGAGGAGTCTAGGGACCTCGAAGCCTTCGGAGCTAGCGACCAGTTTGAGATCGTCGACGACAGTGAGGCTGTCATCGTACCCGAGCAGAAAGGATGCCTTGTGAGTTGCCTGCGAGGCCTCAGGGGTAAGTGTTTATATTTTTCTTTTTCTCGTGATTCTTTGTTACCATCGAGCTTGAAAGCTCATATACTTTTTGAAGTTAGTACTGCTAGTGACTGGTTTGCCATGACGGTTTGCCGTCACTGTCAAACTTTGGCAGAGTTTGCCGTAACAGACCAAAAAAACTCCCCGCTTTAACCCGCGCGTTGCCGATGGAATGTCAAGAAAACATGCACCCAATGCAAGCGACGCTGTCGCTTCGCTAGGGATCTTCCGTTGATTCTTCGCGCTCTGACGAGGATCACCGTAGCCTCGACGTTCATTGGGCCAGGTAACGCCAGGTAGTTGCCTTCTCGTCCTGCGCACTCCGGTCTGTCCACCGGAGGCGGCTGCGCGCGAAGATTTAAAAATGCAGGTTTTTTGTCGACGTTTCGCACATCTATCGTGAATCCGAGATTAACGCGATGGTATTGAACTGTGCGAAGGGAAAAGGCGTGATAATAAGTGTTTACTCTTATCCAACACATCGCGCGTATTTTGAGATACCTTTATCAACAATTTGTCAAATCTTTTAAAAAAAAAAAAGAAACAAAAATATAAATTAAATTAGTAAAAAAAAAAAAAAAAAAAAAAAAACAGCAGCATCCTTGACGCTTTGGAGTGCCAGCAAAGTGTCTTGTCTGAAGGCGAAAACTTGGACTCGTTGGGAACTTGAACTACCGATCATAGTTATAATTTTTCTTCAGTCAACAAAACAAAATCGGCTTCCACAGAACTGCTTCGTGCAAATATGTCTTTTGAAGCCAATTAGAGGCTTTCAACCATAAACAGTGATTTTCAATGAGGCAAGGTGAATTGTACATGTCTGTGAGCAACACTTGGTGTTTGCCACTCTAGTGGGGCAAAGCCACGATGCTGACTATCTCTTGGCCCACATTATTACTATGTCTTGTTCACACGTCATGTTTGTGAGGTCACTTCCATAGGCTTGGTTTCAGAATGACTGAACGAAAAACTACAATCGTACCTCCCGATTTCACTGTTTCTGCTGCTAGAATAAGCCGGTACAGCTAAAAGTTTGCAGATGAAAAGCCTTGTTGAATCTTGCTGTTGTTGCGTTTCAGGGTTGTGGTCGACACGGCAACTCGGCGGAGGTGCCAAGGCGGATCGGGAGTGGTACATCCGCACAACTCTGAGGGAGCTGCTCATCTACATTGTATTCCTGGTGATCCTCTGTGTTTGTAAGTGCCACTTTCTTCATCACCGTGGAAGATTGTGTGCAAGCTTTTCACTTTCAAGCATTGCGCCAAGTGTAATTCTTTCCCATTGCTCGCCTTACTTACCAGGGTGCCTAGCGACCGGGAAAACCGGGAATTGTCAGGGATATTGTCAAAAAGCAAGCCCAGTCAGAGAAAATGAGCCGGGAACCCATCGGGTGCCCTGAGCAAAGACTTGGGGGCAGAAAAATAGGCAACAAATTCTGCTTAGAGCGGAGCGCGGGCTCTGGTCACTTGATGTAGAGTATGCTACCCACTGCAATAGGAACAGCCAACAAATCCAGTCTAAGTTTTGGATTGGATTGGATTGAGGGCGCGACGCTAGGCTAGATTTAGTTAGAGCTACTACATTTAGTAATAAATAGAAAAGCCACAGACCCCAATCCAAGCCTTAAGCTGAAAGTATCTAAAAGTGTGCACCTGGCGGCCATGCTGCCATTCGGTTATTGACATGTGTAATTGAGCGTCGTGTTTTCATTGTGCTTCTGGAAGTGGCCTGTTCACTGACGATGTCGGCAGCAAGAAAGTGCTCGTTTAATCCGGACTGGACATACCCGACCATGTCAGAATATGCAAATTGGATTAAGCCCGTGCAAAATGATTTTCACAGTGCTCAATGCCTTGTGTTTTAAAGGTCTTATTATTTAACCGCTTTTACAGTGGTCAGAGAATTTCACCTGTAATTGTCAGTGAAAACCTGGAAAAGTCAGGGAATTTTAAAATAATGATATGCTAGACACCCTGCTTACAGAGCCTCTAAACGTTGTGAAACAACCATCCATTGTTTCTGGTGGGGCCAGCGCTAGGGCTCATTGACTGGATTCTTCTGGTCTGCAGTTCATGTAATGCATTAGCTCTCTGATCAGAGACAGCCTTGAGGCAGATAAACATGAATAAAATAAGTATTTGCATGAGGAGAATCGGCAGAGTCGAAATGTTCCTATTTGGAAAGGCTCGCCGCAAGCAGTTGTGCGAGGCTTGCCTATTTATTTTATTGTGTCTCGAACCAAAAGGGGTTTCTGGCTGCAAACAAGTTTGCATTCATTTTGAGCTCGGCTGACCTCAATGGCATATTGCGAGCTTTTTAGAATAGCAGGCCAAAATGTTGACAGATAGAGGAACACATCCTGAAGTCTACATTGCTGTGCTACAGTAGCTTAGGCAGGAGTGGGGCTCATGGGGGCTCAGCCTCCCCATGAAATTCAACCGAACGTCTAACACACATATGCATTTTGACACCACCTCCGCTCCAAATCATGGACATCCCAGGTATCTTTCCCCCTCCTCCCACCTCCTTCACCCCCCTGAAAAATATTCCTGGCTATGCCACTGCTGTGCCAAACAATTGAAGTAATTTTGGTTGTCAGCGAGAGCGAAAAAGAATGCTTTTAAACCACGTTTATGATACAGCTCAACAGATATCTCATAAACATTCCTGCAAAAGTGAACATGTAATTGGAGCTGCTGGTAGAATTTATAATATTCAAGTTTCTTTTTGTAAACACCACTCTCAATACGTCCACACACAAACCTCTTTGACAATCCCCAATTACTTTAAAGGCCTGCCTAGCAGCCTTCGTCTCAGGGTGTAATGCCCGAGTTGCCGTTACTCCGAAGTCCACATAGCTAAGCAGTTTTGCTGTAGAAACGTTTTGCATGACCATAGCAATGTTTCATTGTGTGCAGACACTAATATGTCTCATGTTTCAGTGACTTTTGGGATGATGAGTCCCGTGATGTACTACCAGACCAAGGTCATGAGTGACCTCTTTCTGGACTCCTCCTACAAGGACAATGTGAGCAACCTTCGGGGCTCATCCAGCATCGACAACTTCTGGTCGGTGAGTGGTACCGTCTGGATATTCGTTGCAAACGCTGTCGTTCAGTGTGGGCTGTTGTGAAAGTTGGTGCTGAATTTCCAAAAACATGGTTGTGCTTATAGATACGCACAAAAGAAAAAAACAGACAACACAATGTGTTGTCTGTTGTTCCCTCTTGTATGTCTCCTTAAGCGCAACCATGTTTTTGACGACTATCGCTCAGCTTCGTTTTTCGTGAACTTCGGTTTTCGTGAACTCCGGTTTCCCAAACTGCAAGGTGGACGAAGATACAATCTTTTCTTTTTAACTTCATCTCTTAAAATGCTCTATTGCCAGAGATGAGTCATTTCTATGGGAAGAAAGAATATCAGGTAAAATATGACAGCCAGCTCTTCTACCAAAGTGTTGGCTTTGTCCCAACTCCGAAGGCTTGCACTATACTCCGTTTCATGATAACTTGGGGAACTGTGGAGGCAACGGCCCTCGCGACCTAATAAGAGCGTCAAAGCGAGGCAGGTGACAGCACATCACGGGAGCGTTTGTGTCTCTGCACCAAATGCGAGGCCCAGAGGAACCGGCTGTTGTCTGCTGGTCAAGAGTCGTTTGCTGTGAAACCTACTAACTTCGGATAAACATCCTCTGCGACAATATTTCCATCTGCTAGAGTAGCAAGCTCTTCGGGAACAGTTTATGAAACAGCCATACGCTCAATTTACCCGCGAATCTTTGGTGGGTGCTAATGCCAGGAAGGCATTTTGACCGGAAGCGGTCAGTTACTAGGCTGCAATCGTCGAAACATCGTTCAAAAGCCACATCATTCTCAGAAAATGGTTTATCCGAATTAACTATCGTTGAAAAGTATTTTGTCTTCGTCTTCCTTCCATGTCGTGTAGCATAGTGTCAATAGAGATGGAATTGCTCGAGTTCAGTTGCCGAAAAAGAAGCCCAGAACTACTTTTTGTTCTCGGACGGTGCTGTTACTGTGGCGGTAACGAGGCCCCTGTGGCCTGGAGCATGGAATGTTGTCACGTGCCTTGCTCCGACGCCTCTTTGGGTCGCGGCGCCGCAACCTCCACAGTTCGCCAAGTTATCGTGAAACGGAGTATAGGTATGTCTTTTCCAGTTTTCCTCGCCATTCTAGAGCTTGCTCTGAATGCGATGTTTACTCAAGCAATCGCGGAAGAGGCTTTTTAAAATTCTTTTTTTATTTACGTCGCCTAGAAGAAAAAAGAAAAAAAAAAAGAGTGGTGTTATGACACAGCAACATGGTCACGCTGGTTTTACAAAAAGAACGATAAAGGACGGTTCTCTTAGTGTGTCCTCTTGTCCCTCCCCGCAGTTTGTGGAGGACGTGATGATCAACTCGCTCTACTGGGAGAACTGGTACAACAACCGGAGCACGTCGGCGGACGACCGGAACATCCTCTACGAGAACCGGCTCCTAGGCTCGCCCCGCATCCGACAACTGCGGGTGCGCAACGACTCCTGCAACGTCCACCCGGACTTCAAGAAGGCCATCACCCAGTGCTACGACACATACTCGCCCCACTTCGAGGACAAGGGGCCGTTCGGTCTCATGAACGGATCTGCGTGCGTCCTTTCTCCTTTCTTTTTGTTTCTAAAGGGTTAGCTTTATATTGGGAACCATAGACAGGCCTTTCTTGCTCGTGTTAGTGTTTGTCTCGCCGCATCACCTTACGGTGTCACGTGACATCATGGTGTCGTGCGACATCACCGTGTCTCATGAGGCCACAGTCTCACATGATGCAACTTCAAAATTTCCCTTTAAGATTGCCCGACCCAAAATGTTTTGCGCGATCTTATGGGGATGGTGAAACTTGTCGTGTTGTATTTGTGAGTGCACGGTGGTGTTTGGATTGACAAGGACAAAAGGGGGAGTCTTTGTCTTCGAGCACAACCATGTAATCTCAAGTTCAGCACCAACTCGCCTAACAATCGGCACTCTTTAGTTGTGCTTTTTAGACTGCAGGAAGTTCTTAAGCCTGAATGGTCCTCTGGCGTATCCACTGTACTCAGAAAACTTTTACCAGTGCAGTACCATTGCTAACCTGGGTTTTTTATTGTGCATCACGTAGTAGTGGTACATGACTGCACGCCAGTACGATGCTCGTCCAGATCGAAATGGGCGGGGGGGGGGGGGATTTAGCCCCAGAACCCTGGGATCTGCAGTACGAAGTTTCACTGCACATGCTCCGAGCTGTGGTGCATTAACACATTTGGGATTCAGAGGTAGTTATATTTTTAGTAGTATACTTAATGGCTCTTGCACGTGTTGCTTCTGCAGCTGGACGTACCACTCTGAGAAGGAGCTGGACGGAGCGGACCACTGGGGAATGCTGTCCTCGTACAGCGGCGCGGGCTACTACGCCGACCTCGGCATCACCAAGGACGCGGCCCTGCAGGTCATGGCGGAGCTCAAGGACAACCTGTGGATTGGGAGAGCCACGCGGGCCGCCTTCCTCGACTTCACTGTCTACAACGCAAACGTCAACCTCTTCTGCGTCATCAAGTGAGTGGTGGTGCCCATCTGGCTGCGTCGTTTGTCCAGCCTGAAAGTCGCAGTGGATCGTGCCAGGTAAAGAAACATAACATTGACAGTTGAAAATGGCTCTCTGGAGTGTTTGGAATACGTGTCTATCATTAGAGCAAAGAATGATGTAATTGGCTTATGCTGTTCGTCTGTTAAACTAGTGAATGGTAAGTCCAGCTTATTGTTGGAGCCAACTTTTTACGCAAGATATTGTTTCAAAATAACGAGGCAGGTGTAGCTTGAGCAGGGGTGGAACACAAGTGCCGCATTATAGCGTTCAGCTGGGACTCAAACGCTGACGCAGCATTCAGCTATGTCTGCCAAGTGCCGCTTCAGAAACAGAAACACTAAATATGTGCTGCTGTTGTCCCTCTGGATTTAGTTCTCAACTTCGTCCATAGGGGTTACGACAGTTGGACCTCCACCCCAATAAATAACTTGATAAATATAGATCTAGATAAAACAAATTAAGAGGTGATGTTCGGTCTGTTCGCGACATTTCGCCTATGCAACCTTCCCCACGTCTTTTATAACCACAGACTTTGTGGGACGACGTTTCCGAAAAGTGGCCATTTGTCTAACTCCCCGTGGCGTTTGTGGTGTGCAGACTCGTCTTCGAGTTTCCGGCCACCGGGGGCATGATCCCCTCGTGGAGTTTCCGCACCGTGAAGCTCCTGCGCTACGTGTCAACTGGCGACTACTTCGTCCTGGCGTGCGAGGTCGTCTTTGTCATCTTCATCCTCTACTACATCGTTGAAGAGGCCCTCGAGGTAATTCCAAGGGACGCCACTGTCGGCTTTGCGTTAGAGTCTCGATCGGTTTGTGCTTGTCTTAGACAGATGCCCCAATGCACGAGGCACGCGCAGTGATGTGATTGCTGCGCCAATTGCGCCAAACTGCGCCAAGGGGCTAACCCTGATACATCCTGCTACATTTCGCCGAAATATAGGTAATCTGCGCCAAGCCTGCGCCAAAGGACCAATTTTGGTCAACTTTCAAAACCGAAACTGAGCTGAGTACCGTGAGCTAGGTGGCGCAAGCAGCCGCCCGACACTAAACCCGACACAAACTACCTTGCGTTAACCGTTCATCTGGTCTTGCATGGCTTTTCCCGAGGTCTCTCGTTTCACACTCTCGTCATCTCGTGGGTGTCGTCTAACCCTTTTTTTAAATTTTTGTAACGATAGATGCAAGCGTGTGCGGATGCTCCGGCGCTCGTGCTGGGTACCAGCCATGCCGTCGTGTTATGAAATGAAACCACGTTTTTGCACGGTGGGAGTTATTTTGTGAGCTGAAGCACTCTGAAGCACCTGCGTATACTAGTCACCGTGTTTGCATGGCGTCGGGTGTTGCCGTCCCCACGTCGCTGCAGATATGGCGCTTTCTAAACTGAAACGTAAGAACTGCCGCAAGGTCATCGACATTCGTTTTCTTGTTTAAATCAAACGCTTGTGAGCATATGTTAACCGTAGCCATCTGTTATTCTTCCATCCCCTCTGCCGCCCCCGCTCCGTTCTTTCCTTCCAAATTGCTCCCCGCAACCCGAGTTCTCTAGAGCCAACGAGCCCTCGCCGTTCAAACCACCGTCCATTCTTCTCGCCCTCAGTTCTACCCATCGCCCAAATGTAAACACCAGCCAAGTCGACTCTGCTCGCAAGCCCCGGCAGCCGACTTCTTCGCCGCAGCTGTAACCTTAGCCCTCACCTCATAAACTAGCCTCGCCCTCGCCCCTGCCCCGAAGCCGTCGCCTCTTCGCCTCAAGATTCTTCAAGCCTGCGTTCTTCTCTTCCAGTTGCTTCCGCCCGTCCCACTGACTCAGACATACCTTTCTTCTCCGTAATAAACAGTTGTCTTAATCTTTAAACTTGTTCTTTCTTCCTGGGGCCTACCACCGGCCCTCACATCTGGCGCAGTCGACCCTTCGAACCTCAATTTTCAATATTCATCGCCTTCGCCTCCTGAACAATGGAATACTTCTAGACCTTCGGTAAGCCTACTTCGCCATCTTACCCGCCATCGCCTACGCCCTCGCCATGATCCAGTGGGACCAAGCAACTCCAGTCGCCCTTCACGCCTTCACCGCCAATTTCCTCCGCGCCGAACTGGATGCCAGAGGACTGGATTCCTCGGGATCCAAAGATGACCTGGTCGCCCGCCTGTCTTCTTTTCTTCAAGACCAAAAGCAACAAGCGCCTCAGCCCCAAATCCCCGCGCCTCAAGTGTTGCCTCCCGGTACCGAGAATGGCGACACGGCACAGCCTACCGTCACGCCCGTGTCCCCGCCCGACGTAATGCAACTCCTGGCATCGTGCCTGCAGCAAAACACCCAGCTTTTGGCCGAGATGCAAAGCCGTCCAGTACAGGTTGCGACACTTCCAGATCTGAGCTCCTCCATTTCAACATTTGAGGACTCGAAAACGACCTCCACCAAGCGCTGGCTGGAGGAACTGGAGAAGACGAAACAGCTCGCCGCCTGGACCGATTCGACCCTTCGAGCGATCGCCATCAGTAAGCTTCGAGGTACCGCAAAGAACTGGCACCTCGCAGCCGGCCACGCCCATGCCTCATGGACTGACTGGAAGGCAGCCCTCCTCCAGCAGTTCAGTGACCAACTCACCCTCATCGAGTGGCAACGACGTGTCATGGAGCGCCTCCAAACTCCAACTGAGACGCTTTATCAATACACCTTTGCCAAATTGCGACTTCTCGCCCGATGCCCCGTGCTGCTCACTGACCAACAGCGGATCGAATATATCATCCAGGGCATCGCAGACAGGCAAGTCACCAATGCTATTGCTGCCCAGTGCCCTCCAAGTGTTGACGCCTTCATAGCGATTGTCACACAACTGGACAACGCGTCGCTACATGTTCGCCGGACGCGTGACCCGTTCACACGAGACGGAAATCGCAATTCCGACTCACGACCACCTCCCGCACAAGTGCCTGGAACTTCGAAAGGCACTTCATCGCCTCGCGACTTTCAACCGTCGTCGTCCGACCGCTTCCCACGCAGAATTTCACACCTTCCGCCTGCTGAACGCGAAGCGCGTTATGACGCGATTGCCCAGCGATACAACGCTCCCGCCTATCGATCTGGCCAGGACATACGTGACGCAGTGTGTTTTCGCTGCCGGAACAAAGGGCATCTTTCTGCCAAGTGTCCCGAATTCCAACAGTCCCGACCGCCGCCGCCGCCGCCGGCTCCATCGCCTCGCTCCGACAGAACATTCACGTGCAAAACTGGAGACTCTGAACTAAGTGGTTCGAAAATTGCATGTGCCATGGTCACCGCCGACGTCCGTGGTATAGGACATCTTGATGCATTTCCCGATAGCGGATCGAGCATAACCCTCATCTCCGCGAAGCATGTCAGCGGCTTACAGCTCCTCCCGTGGACAGCAGCTCCCCTCATCGTCGTCGGGGGTGGTACGATCACGCCCATCGGATCTGCTTGTCTTCGCATCTCCGTCGACGACATATCTGGAGTTGTCGAGGCCGCCGTGCTTGAAAACAACGCCCTCCCATTGATTCTCGGAGACGACTGGCTTTGCGCTGCTCGCGCCGAGCTTCACGTCAAGCCACCAAGACTCCCCGAAATTCACCAGCCGCACCGAAAACTCGTCGTGCCATGTGTTGAGAAGACCCTGCCTCGGATGGCGAACGCCGTGCTCCTGCAGGAGACTGCCATTCGAACGTGGCACGCTGCTCCGACAACGCCAACTGGGCTCCAATTGGAACCTATCCTAGAGGACCAAAAGCCTCTCTGGACAACGCTGGAAGTTCCCGCCACCACGCCCCCGCCACTCAGCGCGCCCAGTCAAGCTTCGCACGTCGCGACCCTTTGCGCCACCGCCACCCGCCAGCTCGTCGAGCCTCATGAGCAACCTACGCCTGCCTCTGCCACTCCCTCGTCAGCTCTGCCCTCGTCGTTTGTCCCATTGATTGGGCCCAGCCTCGACGAAACTGACCGAAACAAAATTCAAGCCATCTTGAACAGCCACGTGCCTCTCTTCGCCACAGACGAGCAAGACCTCGGCCTTTACATGGGGACGGAACACAGCATCGACCTGGTTCCTGGAGCCACCCCATACAGCCGCCAGCCATACAGGTACTCCTTTGACGATCGCCGATTTCTAGAACGTCAAACAGAAGACCTTTTGCAGACGGGAATTATCCTCCCGTCGTCTGGACCCTGGGCTTTTCCAGTTGTTGTGGTCAGCCAACAGACCAAAAAGCGCCTTTGCGTCAACTATATTCCGTTGAACAAAATGACTGTAAACGTCGCACAACCCCTTCCCCGCGCCGACGACATCATGGAAGACATCGGTGGTTGTAGCCTTTTCGCATCGCTAGACCTGAAGTTTGCCTATTGGCAAATTCTGCTAAGACCTCAGGATCAAGACAAAACCGCCTTTATCACTCATCAGGGCACCTACAAGTGGACACGCATGCCCTTCGGCCTCAAAAATGCGCCCGCCACATTCCAGAAAGCCATGAACACCGTCTTCCAAGAACTCCGACCACGCCACCTCAAATGCGGTGTTCGCGTCTACCTCGACGATGTGCTGCTCTTCGCCACTAACATCACCGAGTTTCTTGACCTTCTTGACGAAGTCTTGACGCTTCTCCAACGCAGCGGTCTCAAGCTGTCGGCAGAAAAATGCCATTTTGGAATGGAATCCATCAAGTTCCTGGGTTTCATTCTCTCCAAGTCTGGAAAACTGCCGAACCCAGAGAAGGTGGACGCTCTTCTGAAAATCCCGACTCCGCGAAACGCGAAGTCCCTGCTCTCATGGGTTCAAGCTGCCAACTTCTACCGACGCTTCATCCCCGGGTTCTCGCACATCGCTGCTCCGCTTCACAACATCATTCGCACGGGCAACTTCGAGTGGACACCAGAGTGCGACACTGCCTTTCAAGCCCTAAAAACTGCCTTGACGTCGGCGCCTATACTGGGTCATTTTAATCCCAGTGCCCCTACGACTGTCGCCACTAACGCCTCCGGCACTGCCATCGGCGCAGTACTGTCTCAGCAACAAGACGGCAAGGAAACTGTAATCGAATACGCCAGTCGGTCGTTGACCCCGGCAGAACAGAAGCTCCACAGCAACGTCTGGGAATGTATTGCTGTTCACTGGGCGCTCACGCAAAAATTCCGCCCATACCTTCTCTCCATCAAGTTCTCACTTATCACAGACAATTGGACCGTCACGTGCCTGACTACGTCCATGAAGCCATCTCGAAGATTCACGCACATGTTGATGGACTTGCTGGAATTTGACTTCACGGTCCATCACCGTCCGGGGAAACAGAACGTTGTTGCCGACATGTTGTCTCGCCTCGCCTGCGCCACTGTCCAAACGTCTGACCAACTGGCCCAGCTTCAACAGGAAGACGCCGAATGCCACGACATACGGCAAAGACTTAGAGATGACCCATCCTCTCTACCAGACTTTTTCGTGATTGACAACGTACTCTACTACAGCACGTCGCCCCAGATGTCAGTCATCGTACTTCCCGCCAAAATGCGACACCAAGCACTCGAGCTGATGCACGACAGCAGCGGCCACATGGATTACACCAGAACACTGGCCAAACTCGCTGAGCGCTATTGGTGGCCCCGAATGCCGAGCACGACGGCCAAATACGTAAATGCGTGCCAGACCTGCCAGGCGTGCAATCGACCCACAACGAAATCGGTGGGGAAAATGGCCATCATGCCAACCACCGAGACCCCATTCAAGATTATCGAAATGGACCATGTCGCCATGCCAGACACCGGTAGCCATCGATACCTGCTCAACCTAATCGACTTTGCATCACGATATGTGGTTCCAGCAGCAGTCACTTCGACATCTACAAAGGAGGTCATTGCTCACCTCCTGCAGGTGTTCTACCGCTACGGAGCGCCCGACCACTGCCTCACAGACCACGGACGCGCATTCGAGTCGCACGAGTTTCTACGCTTCATGCGACTCCATGGCATCACCATTCACCATTCCGTGGACCGCGCAGCCAGTAACGGCTTGGTTGAGCGTAGCAACGGCACGCTCGTGGCCGTACTTCGGAAGCTCTGCAAGTCGGATCCCCAGACTTGGGATACACGCCTTGAGGAAGCAGCCTTCGCCGTCAACACAACCCACAACGCATCTTCACAATTTTCACCCTTCGCCTTGCTCCACGGCTACGTCCCGAAAATGCCTCATCAAAAGCATCAGCCCAAAAACACGGAAACCATGCACGAGCGCTTGCTCAGATTATGCGCCGACCGAACAGACGCACTTCAGCGGAGTGAAGACGCCCAACTTTCACGTAAAGCTATCTACGATCGTTCTCACAGGGATGGTAGAGACTTTGAGCCCGGAGACATCGTGTGGATTCGCCGCCAGCAACCCGTGCCCGACGGAATGGAAAAGCTGTCGCCCCGGTTTAGGGGCCTCTACGAAATCGTTGGGAAGCCCACGCCTGTGACATTCCGCGTTCGACAACTGCCCGCCTTCGGTAACACAAATTCCGCCAACGAACGCACGGTTCACCGCTCACAGGTGAAGAAATATTCGCCACCATACGTAGATCCAACTCTCACAGACCCCCATGTCGGTGATGTATCAGCGCCATCGCCAACCCCCCTTCCTGACCCGACACAACAGGAGCCAGAACTCCCCACACTCGCGCCTTGCCCGAGCATCAACAACTTACAAGACCATTCATCAAGCTGCGAAACACCCGCCGCTGAGTCACCGCGCCCCACATTCCGCCGACCCCGCCGAACACGCACTCTGCCCTTGCGCCTTCAAGATTTTGATATATCCACAGAGTAGTTTCGCCATTTCGTTTGCCATTAGTTTTATAGCCTTATAGCCACGTTTCTATATAAGTATCCCTAGAATAGCTGCGCCTTTCGCTTAGCCATTTGTTTTATATTCATAGCCACGCGGACGTGGCCTATAGAAGTGGGGTGGGATGTGAGCATATGTTAACCGTAGCCATCTGTTATTCTTCCATCCCCTCTGCCGCCCCCGCTCCGTTCTTTCCTTCCAAATTGCTCCCCGCAACCCGAGTTCTCTAGAGCCAACGAGCCCTCGCCGTTCAAACCACCGTCCATTCTTCTCGCCCTCAGTTCTACCCATCGCCCAAATGTAAACACCAGCCAAGTCGACTCTGCTCGCAAGCCCCGGCAGCCGACTTCTTCGCCGCAGCTGTAACCTTAGCCCTCACCTCATAAACTAGCCTCGCCCTCGCCCCTGCCCCGAAGCCGTCGCCTCTTCGCCTCAAGATTCTTCAAGCCTGCGTTCTTCTCTTCCAGTTGCTTCCGCCCGTCCCACTGACTCAGACATACCTTTCTTCTCCGTAATAAACAGTTGTCTTAATCTTTAAACTTGTTCTTTCTTCCTGGGGCCTACCACCGGCCCTCACACGCTACTACAAAAATCCCTCTTTAACTCAGAGTGCTGGGTCTAAGTAGTGATTATCTAGGTTTCTCTCGGTGGGCTTTCTTTTGAGAGGGACCCTTGTACATGAAAAGTTTGCCGCGAAATAAAGTGAGTGAACAGAAGTTAGCTAAAGCGAAAAGGCAATGTCTGCACACTGAACCCGGACAACGCGCTTATTTGTTTCGAGTTCAGTCGTTGCACAAAGTGCTCCAAGAACTTTTTGACCCTGGCTCACAGTGTCTTGCATCGATACGCTCAGGTTCTTTTTTTTCTGTGTGTTTAGCTTGTACCTCGCCTGCCGGCCTGGCAAGCACGCACCGCTGGACTGTTTTCTGTCGTATTCTGGACCGTTACATTTGGCATACAATTTTGGGAACCAGTTGGCGATGGAGCGGAGTGGCATGGTTTCGGTTTTGATCGAACAGCAGTCTCCGCTCGCACGACGATACGCGTGCAACTGCAAGCTGCTGAAGTTGCCCTCACGTGCATGCGAACATGATTGCACGACAGAGGCACCAGCCGGGACGCTTGCAATCCATTGCTTTACATTTGCTTGCTTTTGAGAAAAATCTGGCACGTCGGGAACCAGTAAAACGGTGGCAAGCGGTTTTTTGGAATTGCTCGGCAACACCTACAGCACTGAACACTTGTGGGATATCACATGCTTGCGAACTTGATTGCACGGCAGAGGCACCAGCCGGGACGCTTGCAATCCACTGTCCACTGTTTTACATTTGATTACTTTTGACGAAAATCTGGTACGTCGGGAACTAGTAAAACGGTTGCAAGCGGTTTTTCAGAATCGCTCGGCAATGCCTACAGCACTGTACACTTGTGGGATGTCTCAGCAGTAAGAACACAAGCAGCGAGTTCCGTCACAATACATCACATTAGAACATTACACAAATCACAACACAAAGTGCCCTTCATTTGTACAGCACTTAAAACAAACATTTTTATTTTTCTAAGAGTATCTGCTCCAAAAGCCACCTTTTGTTGTCCGTAACACTGTTTTGGCTGCTCCAAAAGCCACTTCTGCTGCTCCAAAACACTGTTTTGGCTGCTCCGAAAGGTACTCCAAAACGGCTTAGGCCAATCACATCACTGCACGTGTCCCATGTGGCCCTTGGAAGCAAATGGTGGCACAACACTCGCTCATTGGCATGTTTCTCGCACTTTCGCTCGGCAATGGTTGTCAGTACTTGTAAGAAACTCGAAGCTTTGCCTGCGGCCTGTCTGGTGGTCCACAGAGAGTGAAAGCACTTGTGCAATGATGCCAATGCCAGGCCATCAGTTCTTGGGCAGTTAGTGTATGTTTTGTGGTGCAATAGAACTTATCTGTAATGGAGACTGAAATAGTGAATAGTATTGTCACGAAATAGAAATGAAAATAAAACCTCCCTTTATCGTATAGAGGTTCTTGCCATGTTTGTAGCTGTTCGATGATTAACGTTCTTAATTAGTAAGGTTACGAAATAAAGCACTCAGAGAATCAAGATTTTAAAATTAGGCTAGAGCAAAAGATAAGTCGCAAGCAACAGCTTGTAGGGTCATGTCATTTTCTGTTTTATTTTTCTGCCTTCTGTATTATGCTTCCTGTTTCTACCTAGAACATTTGGCCTATTTCGTGGATCGCTATATGCTTGTTTCATTATCTGTTTCGGAGGATTTGTGGGTGGAGTATGAAAGGACGGATGAAATGTTATTGGCCCGTCATTGACACTGACTGATCGATCGATTTCAGATCAAAAGCAACAAGTGCGCCTACTTCAAGTCCATCTGGAACATCCTTGACATCCTTGTGATCCTTGTGAGTCTCCTCTTTTCATCTTGTATCTACCATAGTGTAGTGTTTGGAAGAAATGAAAGTATACTACTTTCCTAGTAGTAAACCATTCTCCTTCACGCCAACACTAACTTCCATTTTTGTGCAGTCAAATGTTTTTGTAACAAAGTCTGCGGAACTGGCGAAATATTTCGTAGTACAGGCAGCTTCGTTGTAGTAGTTGCGCGCATAAAATCAATCATGCGAACCGAATTTCAGCTATCACATATTGACATACTACCTGCGCAACATTCGAGGTGTTTCAGGAAAAAGTATAGCACCAAATATAGTACAAGTGACATCAGAAACAAGGTTTTGTACGTTGACAATTGACTTATCGAAAGGGGGAACAGTGGCCGAGTCTGCTAGCAAATCGTAGCTCGGAGCATGTGCGGCAAAAGTTTGAGCTGCAGAATCCAGGCATTTGTGTGCGTCAGGCACTGCCTTACGCAATTTTAAAACACCGGGCTAGTGGTCGCACCGCCAGTACTGCCACTGGCAAAGTTTGTCACCTATAGCCGAGACACCAGGCGCACCTTGTTGCAGACTAATTTCCTGCCTAATTTCCCGCTCTCCAGTTTCCGCACCACAAGCTTAAGTGAATTACCAAAATATGAAGCGTAATAATAACTAAACCACCGACATTGATCCCCGATCATGCAGAGAATGAGAGGTGTTTGCCGAATGTAAATTTGGCCTTCTCTAAATCGGGCGATGTGTCATTCGGAGGAGGCTCTCGAAACGGCTGCATTGCTCTCGTTAGAGCGGGCGCAGCAGCTGTGGAGCACTATTGTAGCAGCCCGGCAGAATTGCCCATGCTCTTGGCACGTGACAGCTGCTGTGCGCACTGCAGCGAGGAGGAGGAGAGGCACAGAACCGAGCAAACTGAGTACCCTTAGCCCCTTTTCACATCTCCCTGGCCCAAAGAGGGGGGTGTGTTTTTTGTGTGGCTCTACCGATTTTGCTTAGATTTCGTCATCGCGGCCAGAGTTTCAGATCACGTTTTCTTGACTGCATACATATAAGCACTCCAAGGCGGAACAATTTGGAACTCGGATCGAGCAAGATTGGGAATCTTGGATCCCGACGAAGATCGGAGCGTCGGTTGAACAAATGCCGAGACAGCATGAAGAAGTTGTGACAGTCCATGAAAATACTTTTTTTTTTATATCTACTTTAGTTCGCGTGGATCTTTTCAGATGCACCCACGAATGTGCAAAATAAGAAAATGAGTGCGTGCATTGTCCGAACGGGGCGTTGAAAAAAATATTATCTTCGAGGCGGAGTGGTGCATACTCAATCAACGGCGTGAGCAAAATCAAAAGTACATGCACGGAAGTACGGAGGTGGCGCCGTATTCGTTGTTCCGCTTCTGCCATAGCCGTGCCGTGCATTCTCGGTTTTGATTCTAAATAATTTGTTAGTGTGTAACCTTCTGGCTAGATGGCTGTTCCTGCATACAGGTATTTTTATGCAGCCGGCAATGTGTTCACATGCCGCCGTCTAGACACAAGGTTGCACACCAACAAATTATTTTATGCTCAAAACCGGGAACGTGCGGTGCGGCAGTGCTGTCAACTGTCGCCGCTGCTGCAGCACTTCTGTTCTCCACATACATCGCTTTAAAGCAACAAGTAGCGTCAAATCAATTGCTTTTCACCGAGGCTACCCATAATACCGGTTATTTTTGCTTTCTGGGGCTGTGCAATTGCTTCTGTTAAACAGAAATATTTTTTAAACAGGAATTCATTGTGGTAGTCGGATAAGCGCATTGAACACATAGGAGATTGACCGGGACTTTATTTTACTGCGTTAAACTGGCATTTGCGTAGTGAAGGTGTTCAATATAAAGGCATTTGACTGTAATAGCTAACATAGTACTTCAGGTCTGTGTTCTTGTAGTTAGCTGGAAATACATTTCAGGAGCATGCACGTGTGACTTTACAAGGAGTACTATGTGTGTGCTATACACTCCGTGCGGGAACTATAGGGGGCGCTTTGAAAAACGCGCGCAGCGCCGCTAGCGGAGGAGCTGGCGCTTGACAGTGAGGCGCGTTCAGCAGCCTGCGGCGCCTTTTCGCATGCCAAGCTGTGGCGGCAGAAGCGCGCACGGACGAAACTTTTGCTTTTTGAGCCACTTTGAGGGTGACGTTGCATGAGTGCTGGGGCAGAAGGGCATTTAGCTGTTCTCCACTTCTTATATATTGAGTTTGAGTCGTTATTAAGGGTTATTTCTCTAGTTGCGGCCAAAAAAGGAGTTGGAGCAATTTTCCGAAAAGCAAGACGGCCGCCACCATAATTGCTCTGAGTGGGAAATTTGTTTCGTTCGTCGCTTTAAACGGGACTGCTGGAACGAGGATATTGGAGGCGAGTGAGATGTTCTCTAAGTTTGTGCGCGAAGTGTGCCAAGTTTCATTAAGACAGCAGGTGTGAAAGTTATGTTTCTAACGGATAAAGAAATAAAGCTGTACGGGATATCTAATATTGGACCCAAAATGTTGTGTTATAGCGGGCTGTGCAAAGTGCAGATTTGGGCACACAGGTGCTTGGACTTGACAGTAACATGACACAGCCCTTATTATACAAAAAAAGGTGGCATAGGGAAACCAGGTGAAAATTTGGTTTGGGCGGCGTAACTCAATGGGAACCGGTTTTGACCATGAAAAGGCTGTCAAGAGAATACCACTGGTCGGGGGAGGTGGAGACTTTAGAGGTAGGGAGGGACTAGTGAACTGTACTTCCAAATGAAACAACTTTGCGAAAGGTGGTTCCAAAGCCGAGAAAACAAAATTGTCGACCAACACACGGTTTGGCCGTCAAGGGCTTTTGCGGTCAGCTGTTGTGTAATAACCTGTTGTGCGAGGTGCTGATTTTCGGCGCACAAGTACTTTGACATGACCGTAACTTGACACAACACTTATTATACCAAAAAGAGTTGGCATAGCGAAACCAGGTGGAAATTTAGTTAGGGAGGCGTAACTAAATGGGCACTGGCTTTGACCGTCAATGGCTGTCAAGATAATACCACTCATTGTGGGAGGTGCACACTTTACAGGTAGGAAGGGACCAGTAAACGGTACTTCCAGTTCGAACCACTTTGCAATAGGTGGCTCTAAGGCCGAGAAAAAAAAAAGTTGTCCACAGAACTTGGGGTGTCAACGTTTCCACATCCAAAAGGAGGCTGATCAAGAAAGAAAGCACACCACACAAACTTCCATACTCAAACGTCGATTCTCCAGTGATTCCGAGTTTCATTGTTGTTTTCTTTAGATATATATTTGTCACTTTTTTTTTACCGTTCGAATCTTTCTTCATGAAGTACAGACTGCGTGCCATACTTGTCCGGAAATATCATCGACACGTACGATGGGGACGAAACTTCTTTGGACGACATTCCTCCAACGAAATTAGCACTGCATACCCGCCAGTGTGGGGATGGCATTTCAGTTCGTCCCATCGGCGCTGACACATGTAGGCGTTACTGGTACGAAAACAAACGCAGAGCGCAAAGCGGTAGTGTAGAATATGTCGGCCGTGCCGACACAGTGGCAGACATGATCGGGAGAACAAATTTCTCGCGTCGTACGGCACGGCTCCATCGCTGTCGCTGTCCCACAAAACATCGGCGAGGTAAAAAACTGTGAAACTTTGTCCCCACGAGATACGGCGCATAACTATTGAAGGAATTAACGACGCAGCACAGTTAGCGCTTCATGCTGTGAACCCAGCGCAACCGCACCACTCCGACTTCAATGCGTACCAACGTACGCCGGCGTGGTTTCGGTTTCGTTTTCTCTGGGGCTCTCACTGCCTACCTTCGGAACCGGCCGCGCGGCGGCGCGCCAGTCGCGTCGCACGGAGTGTATACTTTGTTTCATCTTAAGGGGGGACACTACCCAATAGGGTTAACTTTTAACCAATGGCTTAATATGAATGAAATTTAGAGTATATACTGGAAGTTGCAAGGCAGAATGCAGTGCAAAGTTTCATCAGTGTACATGAGTTGTAAAATAACTTCTAGTCATTTTATCAGGAACACACCGACTTTGTTTAGAAAAACTATCGTTAGGAAACTAATGTAATACCGACCATTTTTCTACTCTAGATCTGCAGCAGAATGCCTAGAGAGTGCAGCTGTGAAAAGAAAATTTTCAAAAAGGGATTTACTTCATGCTAACATCGCTCTAAAAAATCAAATAAATTTTTTTGCCTTTTTTGTCAAGCACAAAATCTTAGCATCTTTTATAAAAGACGTCCACAAAGTCAAAAAACAATTCCACAGTTGCACTGCCCATAAAATTCCACTTAGGAAAAACAATAAGCGAGTCTTTCCTCTTGTCCCATTAACAAACGATAGTTTTCCTAAAATGAAATTTATGCCAAAATGTGGAACTGGGAAAAATGTGTTCAAAGTGTTCCAACCCCTACCTTTTCTTTAGCTTCAATGGACGGAAAGGGGGTAGTGTCCCCCCTTAAAGGGCAACTCCGCTTAATTTCAAAAATTTTGAGATAGTGGCTGATTTTGCTTTTTGAAGCACTCAAAAACAATCCCCAATCTTTTGTTTCGCGAAAAATAAAATATTTTTCGTGTAATTTTACTCTAGCCATGATCACAAACTGAAACCAAAACGGTGGCAAAGCCGGACAACATTGTATATTCGGCATCACTAAGCATGTACACCCACGTGATATACAAGGGGAAGAAGGAGCTCCCCTCTTATCAGGATCCTCCTTTGTGCCTCCTGGATTATCACAGGCGTCGCTATTCTCCTCCCAGAAGATTATAGAAGATTAACCTGTCACTCAAAATTCTTACAAAAGCAGCTTCCCTCTCCTCCTTTTACTTGGTGTTCAAAAGTATGCGATGTAACACAAGCCGCGCTCAACGAGGCGATCGGCTGATCAGTAGTATCAATTGTCGAGCGCCGGGCCGGCCGAGCGCGTCACTCACGTCTTTCATGGCGCTGACGCCACCCACGCTCTCCCCGAAAAAAAAAAAAAAAAAAAAAAAAAAAGCTGTACATGTTTGGTGACGTCGCGGACGTGCCGGGAGAAGGAATTTGGAGGAAGCGGAAATGCAGCCGGGCAGTGTTGTCTGGCCCGCACGTCCCATCCAAAACCAGCGGATTCGTGCTTGTCAAACTTTGACAGCGATTTCAATTAACTTCTAGGCGGAATTCCGTCGTAATATTTGCCATGGGGGTTTGTAGATGATAACAAAGAGAACTGTATAGTTTTGCACTACTGGAAAAGAAGCGGAGTTGCCCTTTAAGTCGAACCGCAGCGGATGCTGAAAAGCCATCTCAGCCAATCCAGCTCTGTGAATGTAGCACGTGATACGCTCCCCACTCGTCACTGTGCCCCCTCTCTAAGGTCATGTAACACTCACACGGCCTTGAATTGGCTCTAACGGCTCGTGGCATCCGCCGCCATCGGTCGTAAGGTGAACTGGAGTATATAGTGCTTGTTTCTGTCTCTGTTTTTCGAGATAAGCATAATATGTAGTTGCTTTCCAAGTATGTTTTTCATATTCATTCTGAGATTGAAAACTATCAAAGACCGGAGCCACTCGTAAATCGTCACAACCCTTCGCTTCTCAGACCAAAGACACTTTTTTTTGTTTTTTCTTGCACTATAAATATATTTCATGTAACGTTGGTTTCATTTTCAGAAAACAGAATTCAATGTCATGTGAGAGTAACAAGGTGCCAAGGAAGATTGCATCGAAAAGTGCTGTGTCTTACTTTCTTTTATGTTTTGTCTTTACACATAACTTTATTTATTTGATAAAGTTATCGTGGCTGGCGTGGCTCCAGCTTCCATGGCTATTGCTCGTCTACTCCATTCGGTTGTGCTGTCACGCAACGGTTAGGGGGCGCCATCTCATAGCGGTCCAAGAACTCGATGGACTACACCTTCAAAGTACTATATTGCATTTGGTGTGGATTACTTGAAGAAGTACACATCACCCAATTATGCCTCTTACTCGAAGTACTACTTACTATACTAAATTTGTCGCAGAAGCAAGCTTGTTCAATGCCGGCCTTGGCGTATAACCTAGACTGCTTTTATTTGTCATCCCAGATCTCGACGGTTTGCATAGCATTCAGCATCTACCGGACAGTGATGGTGAACCAGCTCTTGTCCGGGCTGCTCGACAAGCCCGACGTTTTTCCTGACTTTGGCAAGCTGGGCTTTTACCAGACGCAGTTCAACAACGCCGTTGCACTGGCCGTCTTCTTCGCATGGATCAAGGTGTTTAAGTACATCAGCTTCAACAAGACCATGACCCAGCTGTCCTCCACGCTCTCCAGGGTAGGTAATGTGCTGTGCGCAGAACTGCCTTTGCCTTTTCTTGGTGTGGCAGGGGGCTTAGATGGCCGGTGGGTCTTTTAACGAGCCACATTAGTTAGTTTTGCAACATGCTGCACTATGACTAACTTGTGAGCTGTGTTGTGTTTGTTTGTTTTGAAACATTAAATGCTTATTTGTCCAATGGTGGTTATGTGCTGAACTATCTCTGTGCAAGTAATTGAGTTATTTTTCTTTTAACGGATTCTTCTCTTTTTTAACACGCAATAAGAATGGAGCACATTTCTGTCATGACCACTATTTAGAAGACTTGTGGTCTGGGACAACAGTTGGTGCTGTTTAATCACTAATGTTCTCTGGCTCTGTGATCTGCATGGGTTTTGTTTCTCTTTAGTGGCTCTGTCTACAAATTTGTGGTGCATTTCTTTGCCTGCAGTGCTCCAAGGACGTGGCCGGCTTCAGCATCATGTTCTTCATTGTGTTCTTCGCCTTCGCTCAACTGGGTTACCTCCTTTTTGGCACTCAAATCCAAGGATTCAGCTCATTCGTCAATGCTGTGTCAGTAAACTGTCCATGCTTTTGTCTTTGCTGAAAAAGTACCAGTTAAGTTTGCTTGGAAGCATGACCTCCCAGCTGCTGCCCAGTGCATGAACCCATGCAAAATGTGCGTGACGATAACTTCGCTCCGCTTGAAATGGCATAAGGATGCTCATATGAGCAGAGGCATGACACTGGCCAGAATACCCTCCTTGCAAGTGTGCAAAGTAGACTCATTAATTCAAACTCCAGGAAGCCACAAATTTTGTTTGAATTATCAGAAGTTTGAATTATCAGAAATTCATCTAAATATGATGCATCTAAATATGGTTTGTCATATGAATGGCTACACATGCAAAGCAGATATTTTATAATTTCCTCTACATTGGCCTACTGATCATAAGCAGGTATGCCACACATGAAACGCTTCTGAAATGTATGACACGAGTTTATTTATTTCTCAAAAACGTTTATCAAGGACAGCTTAGACAGCACATGACAAATCGAAACAAAATTAAGTTTTGTTCATCAGGCTAAGGAGTTGTCTAATGTGAACTACTAAGGAGGAGACACATTAGCGATGAAAATGGACACCGCACGGCAGTTTTCATAGCAACTTGCACGGACACTGTGACGTGGGATTATGCAATGTTGCCGCGTCACAGTGTCTGCGCAAGTTGCTAAGATATTTCCGCGTGGTGCCAGTTTCCATAGCTTGTGGTGCCCTTCTTGAGCCCTGCTGAGTGCTCTTCTCACCGAACATTGGTGCACTGCGGAGAAGCAACACCCGCCGAAGCAAGCTCCATGGGTTTTGCCTCTCTGCAGTGCACCGATGCTCGGAAAGAAGCGCACTCAAGGGGGCCGGAAAAATGAAAAGTATAAATTACATGAAAACGCCGTTCGAATTAAGCGGCTTATGAATACATTGAAAACGTAGCATGACAACCAAAATTTTGGAATTTGTTTGAATTAACCAAAAGTATGAAATATCCGAGTTTGAATTATCACGAGCCTACCATACTTGAGGGATACTAATCAGCCCATCAGCGAGGCTACGCATTGATTATCGAATCACATCTCTCTCTCTCTATCTCTTTTTAAGAGCCCTCTATTTTTGTATGCATACAAGAAATATACACGTTTCTATCATACGGTGTGTTTCACTCAAGCTGTTTGCTAGTGTCGCGCAATGCAATTCTTTCCCGTGTCTGCCAAAGTGACGTAGGGCTATTGGCTTGGTGTCTCTCAAATTGACGTGGTGATGGCGGCCAAGGCGCTTGAACATTTCTTTGTTTGTTTCGTACACACAGGTTTACACTGCTGCGCCTTATTTTGGGAGATTTCGACTTTGAGGAGATGGAGGCCGCAAATCGTGTCCTGGGCCCCATTTATTTCCTCAGCTACGTGTTCTTCGTTTTCTTCGTGCTTCTGGTGAGCTCATCGTTATCTTACTTTGGCACCATTCTTTCCCTGTACTTCTGTTCTTGTGTTGTTAATTGCAAGCTTTTCTTGTGATTGGCAAAGATTTTAAATCTTTATTTTTACGTGGTATTGGTGTTGCAGTGCTCCTTACAAATTATTCTTTGCTGGTTTCAGAACATGTTCCTCGCCATTATAAACGACACTTATGCGGAGGTGAAATCCGAAATTGCTCAACAGAAGAATGAGTTTGAGCTCGTGGACTACTTCAAGAAGGTGAGCTGTGCATTCTATGTTTTCTAGTCTCAAATTTTGATACGCTAGTTCAGCAGTAGTTATACTTGAAAAGGAACCTTGTTCCTGGAAGCCTCGAAGTAGCACATGATGTTATGGTAAGAGACTTGGTTTGTCAACTTTGTGCTTCAAAGAAAATGTTTCTTAAACCTCTTAAAGGGAAGCTGAAGCTGCTTTGTATTTGAGGAAACACACTTAAATCGTTTTCATTTGGTCTCCAGGACGTCGAGTATCGAAATTATTTTTTAATTTGGTGCATGGAGGCTGCAGAAAATAATTTTCAAAGTAACGCTGAAGGCCCTCCCTCCCGGTGCTTGATGTCACAAAAGGAGTTTTTGGAACCTCCACTCTCGCACGTCTTCAGCGCCATCAAAGCAATGCACGTGCACTCTTGCTATTTTTAAATAGGGCAGAAAAGGACGTCACGACTGTTACCGGTGCGGGGGAATACAGTCTAAGCTCATTACAACAGGCCTGGTTACAACAGACATTTGGATAAAACATACCGATTTTTGAAGTTTGGTTGGTTTTCCTCTACATACCATTGGCTCAACTTCATATCTGCATACAACAGACCGAAATCTTGGACAAAGTCAAGGTCTGTTATAACGAGCGTAGACTGTATTCCTGGCAAGCTTACAATTGCACACGTGGCCCTGGAGCGACACGTGCTGGGCTGTCGAAAGATCCTCTTATGACATCGCGACTGGTCCGAGGTTTTCCGTGTTTTGTCGCGTTTAGTTACATCTTCTGGGAAAAACGAACGTGATATTCAGATCCATGAAATAAAACTACACTAGAATCATCCTCTATCTCCTTTTTGAAAGAAGTGTTTCAGCTTCCCTTTAAAGGGATGCTGTACCGAAATTTGTAGCTCACAAAACGAGGCTAAAGCGATAGGTGGGAAGGTGCAAAACACAAAAACATCACTCATGCAGCAATATCTCTAAGGGATGGCCGTATATTTGGAAAAAAGTGCGTGATTGAACACGGCCGACAACACCGACGAGACATGTGACTTCATAATTCTCATTCCCTCTCCTCTTCGCTTTGTCCCCCTGAGCAGGCGAATTGAAGCGAGGAGGAAAGAAACGAATCCGCTTCCCTTCATTCTCAACTGTTCGAAAAGAATCGTGACCTAACACTCCTTGCTTGATCGCGCCCTTCTTTTCCAAAAAATCACCATCGGTTTGATGTATTGATGTACGAGTGATGTTTTGTAATTCATAGCATCCCGTTCAATGCTTCTGCGGCTTTATTTTGCGAAGTCTAAATATCGGTTCAGCATTCCTGTAACGGAACGTTAGCTGCCTATCTGAGGTTTTCAGTAGCTTCGTTTTCATCTTTTTCATGCCATTTTTAACTACTTTCTTGTTTTGTTTAACTGTACCGATGGTATTTTTTAGCTAAGTCCGATCGAAGTGAGATCTTTCTCAAGACACATCCCTCTTCCTAAAGGGGATGCACTTACAGAGTGTGAACAATGTTTTAAAACTGTCTAAAAACTGGAAGTACAAGCACTCGTGACTTTTTTGTGCAATAAATAAATTGTTGTTACAAAAAACACTAACTTCTGTTTCACAAAAAGGCATTAGGTATTTGCGCATGTTTGACAAATGAACTGTGGCCACTCTGTGGATTCCCAGGGTTACAACAACATCCTTGGAAAACTGGGCAAGCGAGACCAGATTGTGGACATCCAGAACGCTCTCAAGATGGCAGACTCCAACAACGACAGCAAACTGACCTTCGAGGAAGTGCGAAGGACACTCAAGGCGTACGCTTGCTTTCTTTATTCTCTCTTGTACTTTACATTTTGTCCCTTTGTGTCTTTCAAGAAAAACCACGTTATTAGATATATTCATTCGTGGAATTTCAAAGCATAGTTAAAAAACAAAAATGTATAAAGCATTTTTTTTTTAAGCTAGGGAGGAATTTATTAATCTGCTGTCGGTGTATCGTGTATGCATGGAGCTTGTTTTTGCTCTGAAAACAGACAAACATTTCAAATGCGTTTTTTGAAGGAACACAATAAGAACATGGTATATATCGTCGCAAACAACAGGTCCAATATATTTTGAAAGTTGTTACTGTAAAAAGCACAGCAGAGGGGTGTTGATGATACGATAATTAATCCCAATGGAGAGCGTGCCTCCCCTAACAAACGACACGGAAAGGGGACTCTCATCCAGTGCGGGATCCCACAATCAGATCAATCTACTGCATGCCCCCAAACCTGAGGTGAAGCCTTTAAAATGACCCCATAAATCGGCTTGGTAACATATTGTAGTATGATTTACCACAGAGGTGCCTGGAGGTTGTAGAAGCATTGTATCAAAATGTCAAAGAACAAACTTTCCCGAGTAGAAAGCAAAAAAGGACGATAACTGGCTTTCTCTACCCTCAGTGCCCAACTGCTAACAACGTTTTCGAGTCATAAATGGCTCGCGTTTTTTTAATACTGGTATAATGGTCAGTGCATCATTTCTTTTTCGTTCCCAATAAAACATACTGTGAACAACTTATTTTTTGCCAGGTCAGTATTTTGCAATTTAGGTCAGAGCTGAAGTTTTGGAATCATTCGCGGGTTCTAATTTTCGCGACGCAATGAGATATCAATATAGATTTCAATGTGTTTATATTTTACTGGAATTGTCTGTGGGACCTATTTTTTGGGAATTGTAGGTGATTCTCGAAATTTGCGAAAATTAAGTCGTTCACAGTATTTGATGGACACGAAACAAATAAAACCGACAGTATGTTGAGTAATTTGAGCTACTTGTCATCGGCTCTTGGCATGACTGGGTGGCTGCTGAGCTGCCTTAAGCTGCCGTAGGGAAGGCTCCCTAAGGTGCCAGGACCACTGCCACCATTAGTCAGTTGTTGCGCCAGTCGGAGGGTGCACGGTTAGCATACGTGCACCGTAGGTAGAGAAAACCAGTTATTGTATTTTTACTTTTTACTCGGGTAAGTTCGTTCTTTGAAACTTTTACACGACACTTTCACCACCTTCAGGCACCTCTAGTTAATGTAGCACGATACATTTTCAAGTCGATTTACGCGGTAACTTTAGAGTCTTCACCCGGATTTGGGGGCACGTGGTAGTAATGCGCTTAAAAAAGGTAGCCGAAGATTCCCCGAGATCAGAAAGTTTGAGACCCACCCCTGCTTTGATGTCAGCAAGGGTCAAAGTGCCAACAACAGACAAGTAGAAGAGAGACGTAACCAAATAGTGTCTCCCTTCCACTTGTTCATCGTTGCTTGGCACTTCAATTTTACAGTGTGCAATACTAACTAACTAGCCCAAGTACGTACCCATCTGTTGTTTCATTGTGTCCCGCAGTCAGAACTTCAGCGACATGGAGATCGAGATGATCTTCTCTAAGTACGACGTTGACGGGAACCGCGAGCTGAGCGAGCAGGAGACAAAGGAGATGATGGCCCACCTGGAGGGTCAGAAAGTGCTGCTTGACCAGGAGATCCAGCTCGAGAAGACCCAGGGAGACTCCAGCAATGCCGGCGGCAACGCTGGCGGTGGAGGGGGGGGCGACGGCAGCGGCGTGTCGCTCGACGACTTCAACGTGTATGTGCCTGGTCTTTACTAGTAACTGTAAAGGCTGGTTCAAACATTTGCATATGAGTGGGACTGACTCTGGCCTTTTACTAACTGTAAGGGCTGGTTCAGACATTTGCATATAAGTGTGAATAACTTCGGTACGATCGCCTACGGCTGCTCACGACAGGAGAGTTACTGCGGTAACCGAGGTCTGTGCAACCTGTCGTCCTGAAAAGCAAAGAGTTGTAGCGCAGACGGCCGCACTTAGACGCAAATTTGAACCGGCCTCAAGATCCCCACTTGTGAAGTGGAGCTCCGAATGCTCTGCCATTGCGGTACATATGTTGTGGGAAGAGACCGTTATTCTTGTAGGAGACACAGCGGCAGACTCTAGCGTTGTCTGCTTGCTGGGGCTTTGCATCTGGCGTTTAAAAATTACCTTGCGTCGTGAGAATATAATTATGTACAACCCAGCTGGTTTGTACGTAATTTTCGACAGCTTATGCGCATGTAGCTGCTTTTCTATGATTAAGATGTTGGCAGCAAAGAGGAAGAAAAGGAACACGGTGATCTGGTTCTGCCCTATTTAGTTACTCTAGTTACACCAGTCATGACCTTGGTGCGGTAACGTACAAGCATAAGACAGGTATGGTATCTTTGTCTGGGTTAAATGCAATAGAATAACGCAGGAAAAATAATTTGAGGACGCAGCAGTGCACTGTTGTATCGTAAGTAAATGGACCGACAGTGGATTGGCCTGGTCACAGTTGTGACATATAAATCTTTATTCTATCCCTTTTCCGCTTCTTCCTACTCGTAGTACCTTCAGTCCCCGCTTCTTTCACAGCCAGTACGACTTGCGCATATTTTAAAGACATATTTTTGTTGCGATATACGTCTACTCAGCCTAAAAAAGAGCCTAGATTTTTGAAGATGGCAAAGACCAGCAATTACACTTTTTTAAATTTCTAAGAACATTTGTTTTTACAGGAATGTGGCAAGGTGCTTTGGCCTGTATCCATAGTTTTATTGCTGTGGTAGAAATGCTGTCTGCTATTTATATTCATCAGCATACTACCGTAAAATCCCAAGAGATAGTCCACCTAGCATCAAGAGCAAACTGGCTGAAATTATGGAGTGGGCTAACTTTCAGTGTACAATCAAGAAAATTTAAAAAAAAATGCTATTTTGAGGTTGTGTCCCTTTCAAGCTTGTGATGGTGGCGAGGGGCAACAAAGCAAAGATGACTGTACTTCCCAGTCAGCAACATTCGCTAATATCCTGCCATAGCTAATTAGCCGCATTTACGCCGAGGACACCATTGATCCCATCGCTACTATTACCAGGGTGTCTAGCGACCGGGAAAACCGAGAATTGTCAGGGACATTTTAATTAATGGGAAAAATCAGGGAAATGTCAGGGATATTGTCAAAAAGCGAGCCCAGTGGGGGAAAATGAGCCGGACTTGAGTTCTTGGGGGCAGAAATATAAACAATAAATTCTGCTTAGAGCTGAGTGCAGTCTCTGCTGACTCTATGTAGAGTTTGCTACCCGATACAAAGAGAACAGCCGACAAATCCAGTCCAAGGATTGGATTGAATTGAGAGCGCGACACTCGAATTGATCCAGTTAGAGCTACTATAGTAAATTACAGGTCAAGAAGGTAGCGGCAAATGCCCCTCAAAGGGATCCATATATACCTCCTCCAGCTCCACATCCAATCGCGTCCCATGGGGTCCGTGACGTCGTGGCCAACACGGGAGGAGGGTCTTGCCTTCCTGTAAATATTTGCCTTATCTTTCGACCTTGACTTAGCGTTGTGGGAGCCACGAGAGGGAGATTAGAGTTTTTCCCCTCTGATGGAAACAAATACGACTTTCGGGGGTTAGGTTCCCCCTCCGATAGATACAAAGGCTACTTTCAGGGGCTCGGTTCCCTCTTTGATGAGTTCAAAGGTAGCTTTCGTAAAAAAAAAGGGGGGGGGTTGGAGACAAGTTGGCATCACTCTGTAGCCAATATCTGTCCATTGAAGCGGAACAAGGGGCGTTTCCAGTGAACTATTCTTTCGACTGCGAAGGGATTTGAAATGGGCACATCATGCTTATGGGAGGAGCTTATCTTACCTTCTTGACTTGTTACCAACTATAGTAACAAAATGGGAAAGCCGAAGACCCCAATCCAATCCAAGCCCTATGCCGAAAGTGTCCGAAAGTGCATCTGGCAGTCATGTTGTCATTCGGTTATTGACGTGTGTGGTTCAGCGTTGTGTTTTCATTGTGTTTCCAGAAGGGGTCTCTTCACTGACGATGTCAGCGGCAAGAAAATGCTCGTTCAATCCGAACTGGACGAACCCGAATATTTTGAAATATGCAAGTTAGATTAAAGATTAAGCCCATGCAAAATGATCCTTACTGTGCTGAGTGCTCAATGCCTTGTGTTGTGATGGTCTTATATATTGAACTGCCTTTAGAGTGCTCAGAAAATTTCACCTGAAATTGTCAGGGGAAACCTGGAAAAGTCAGGGAATTTCAAAAGAATAATTTGCTAGACACCCTGATTACTAAGAGTGGGCTATCTTTCGGTGTTTAAGAAAAAAACTTTCAGGCTTTCCACTCTGGTGAAGAAGGAAGACCAGCGAAGCTGTACTATGGTGGGAATGAAGTAATGGCCGGCAATTTGGCAAGCCAGAGTGGAAAGCCTGGAAAGGCTGCCGCCATCTATGAGCGATGGCTGCAACCAGACAACTGGCTAGCTGGTTGTCTGGTTGCCGCCATCACTCATAGGTGGCGGTAGCTGTCCAGAGTTATGTGTCATCATTTGTTTGCTGGCGGACACGATACTAGGGAAACTAGCCCTTAACATCTCCGCTGTAAAAAGTATAGCAAATCAAGCCAAAAATAGAGATGGGCTATCTTTCGGGGGGTGGGCATCTCGGGATTTTACGGAACTTGTTTCCCTGAGATGCTATGAATGCTGTTAGGTGTTCACTGATCATGAGAAATAATGAGGCATATTTTTATGTTTGTTGGTGTTATTGTGTTCAGCTCTGAGAGAAAACGAACGGGGTGGTCCCCCCGATTGCTTGCTGCAGGCTTTCCCGAAGAGTGGATCGCATGGAGCATTCCATTGGAAGCATTGTCTCCAAGATCGACGCTGTGCTGGTCAAAATGGAGTCTATGGAAAAGGCCAAGGCGCACCGGCGTGAGAACATGAACAAGATTCTCGACAGCATCTCTGAGGTGAGGCACAACATCTTGTTCTCGCTTCTCGTCCAAGGTGTGTTACGTTTGCAGCTACTTAGTTGCCGTGTGAGAAGATTGGGATTATAAAGTTATGTAAACGAACCATAAAGGAGAGCCTGACACTGGGATATCACATCATCCTTTACCTATTTACAGGATTATTCAATCCTGATATAACCGCAACTTTTCGGTGTCAGATTCATTGCCTGTTGGTGGCAGGTTTTGAATTTTTTTCTTATTTTGTATTTTTCGAGGTTTTGTAGTCTAATTGCAGTCCATCTTGAATCACACCTTCAGCGAGCCTAGCCTGATCACTGCCTGGGGATAAATCCCGCTTTCATTATTGTCAGAGAGATGTGACGGATTGAGTACTTACTCTATGCATTGCATGCACATGGACGTCCTCCACCAAAAAAAAAAAAAAAAAGAACATACCTTATTTACTCAAATGTAGCTCTACAATTTTTCCACAAAAGTTTTTCCAAATTAGGAGCCGACCTATGCTCGTAGTTGAGGAATGTAGACTCGTAATAATAAATTGAATTCTTGACCCCGTTGAGCTAGCTGAGATGTGCTTCCCCGCACCAGCCACTTCTTGCATTGTAACGCGGCGTTTAATCGATATGAACCAACTAGCCCCGACCAATGTTTTATTGTATAGAGAGAGTTTTGTCAATGGGAGGAGCGGGCAGAGCCAGGGCGTGCACCAGACACAGATGGAGGGCTTGGCTTGCTCTCCTGGCCAACCAGAAGCTGAAATGAAGCCCCTAGCGGTGGTAGCAAGAAACAGTTTTAATGAGAGTGTAAGGGTTAAATGCAGTAACTCTTCATGTTAAAAATATGGTGCAGTGATGTTTCGATTATAATCATGCAAAACGATGTAAGAAACGAATGTGCTGCTCAAACTCTGTTTAGCTCGGACAGTCTGACGTCTCAGATGGTAGATTCCCAATCTTCGGCGCCTGGCATACCGATTATGTCAATCGTTCCACTAGTAGCGCTCTTCCACCACTATTTTGGATGACCGTGATTGAGACATCACATGCACCATATTTTCAATCACGGAGAGTTAGCCCGATGCACTCGTTAATTTCGTTTCTCATAACCACCGCCAGGGTATTATTTCCGGCTTCTGGTCAATGGCACCTCCTCATTTGCCTCCTATACTTCCCAATGAATGGCCAAACTCTCTCTATTTATGGCTCTGCCCCAGTGGAAAGTAATGAAGCTTGGCACGAGGGTACTACGGTGCAAAGTGATGAAGCTTGGTGCGAGCGTTGCAACATGAGTGCTACGGCTTGGAGACACGTGGTTCTCCAAGTTTGGACGATGATGTTGTCAGCATGATTGACAAGTGAATTTTAGCAAGTTTGACTAGGCACACTGTGAAATAAATGTTTGGGTGGATTTCTTGTATTCAGTTTTTTTTTTATCGTTCTCGGCGGGTTCTTGATATAGATTGATGGCACTTGTAATTTTGATTAACTATGTAAATTGAAAGGTCGGAAAAGTTTGTCTATGAGCCGCATCAGTGCCTTTTTCTACAAATAATAATAGTAATAAAAAACTGACTTTGTTCTATGCTTTGTGAATGTAAAGAGTTTTTTCTAAACCCTTGTTAGCCCAAGCAGATAAAAACATTTTTTTGGCCTTCTAGACTGTCTTCAAGCTTACAGCAGTAGTACTGAAATCCAGATTTGAGTTCTTACCTGATAGCATGTTGACTAGTGCTGTCATAGTGCACATTAGTATTACAAAACATTCCCCTTTTAGCCATACCGCTATGCCTTGGTTTCGAGAAATTTTATGCATTCGATTGTAAGCTTGCAAGCTGCAGTGTTTGGTAGGAAGTGCTCCTGTACGGCTCGTGTGACAAAGGAAATCTCTGACAACCCACAGAATGAAAACCTGGATGAGAGAGGGAAACGTCAGCAGATGGAGAAGTTGGTCAGGGATGAACTACAAAGATGGGACTCTGAAGCGTCCCTGCACACTCCGCGCAGGGTGAGATCTCTCTTTCACCTCCCCCTCTCAAAATGAGTGCACACGAATTAATTAAATATTTTATTAAGAACACTATGAAGGTTCGTTTCTGGATGTTGGACAATTGTTCTGGGGAGCCAGACTTTGGGTAATAGATGACTAGCAAATATGTAATCGAAAGCAGTAGGCCAAAAAGTGGCGATAATTTAATTTACATATAATAATAAGGTGCATATAATGTCATATGAATTCTGTAACAACAAATCCTAACAATGTGGATAATAGTTTAGATGAGGGCACCATCTATAAACTGTCAAGCACTTAAAAAAATATGATTAATTAAGCAGCCACTCATTATTTTGAAGGATCGGAAACTGATGTTACATGGCTGGGGAGACTGTTCAAGTATACAGAATTAAGCGTGGTAATGTACCCTTATGAAGGCTGGTGTAATGAATCGAAATGTATTCATAGGTTTGTTTCTTGATTAAGCAGCGGAATGGTTCGTTAAGAGATTTGAATAACTTCTTTTATCTTTTATTGTATGCAAGTAAATTTGTTCGTGGTGTCTTTCGGCCATTTAAGGCTACTGCAACTTTGGTTGATGTTCATTGGAATTGTCTGTACTTTTTGACGTTGACTAAGTTCCCAGTGATCGTTCACGGAAACCAGTGACGCGTGTTGAAGCCTATATAGAAACTGGTTTTAAACGAGATATAGGGACTTGTGGAAATAGCATGTTGATGCCTCTCTACTGAGCTGAAGTGGGGATTATGAAATTTAATTTGTGAGTTCTGCCTTGTACGACGAAAGTGCCCTCATCAGGTAGTTCTATATCACTTGTAACATGACATTTTTTTTTGCTCAGAGCTTACGGTAGCAAAATTAGAAGTATGCAAGGACATAATAATTGGGAATGAAAAATGTGAGGGTGAACCATTAATCTCTGCATCAGGTTTAGACCAATTGTGGCTCCCTGTTTGTTTCAGGAACGGAGCAACACACCGTGAAGTGGATACTGCGTGAACCTGACAAAAAGACGAAGAAGCTGGAAGGTCCCAACAGCAGGCTCTGTTTTGTCGTCGGCATCTGCCATGCTCTCAGACCTTCCACTTCACCTTGTAGTAATGGTACTGCGTTACTCTGCACCACCGCACAAGTCGCGCCAAAGTTCTAAACTCCACCTCTTCGCAGAAACCACCGCTGCTACGATGAGATGCTTGTGTCCCAGCACTCATTTGAAAAAGATTTGTCCCCTCATTACAACATGACCTGGTAATAACAACGCAAAATAATTTACTTTTTTTTTTTCACTTTTGCTTGTTATGCATTTTTTCAACGTTGACAGATCCGCAGCGCACCATTGAATATCTACAGCCTAGTGTGCGCATGTTTGTCGCTTTGGGGAGAGAGCAGAGCACACACCATGTGCACAAACGACAAAAGTGGCACAGGCCAGAAGCCATATACTATTGGAATGTTCTAACGGCACAGATTTTAGGGCGTTTATCTCTCAACTAAGTCTCTCGAGACCTTTCGAGGCTGGATGTATATTCAATGGCCTGCTGATTAGGGTGTCACAACCGGAACTCTTTGGTAATCAAGATATATTCGCTGTGTGCCGAGGAATATCAAAATGGACCAGTGAGGTGGAAAGCTTTAGTTTACGTGGGAAAACTCTCTTTGTCGAAGTGACTCATCTCACCTTGGGTCCGGTAAGCTACCGGTAGGCATTTGGTCTTAACTTATTTCTTATTTCCATTGTTTATTGGTGTTTCTCAGTTAAAACCAAGATATTCTACAGCACAGGTAGAGAGGACTCATAATGTAGATGGCCTTGATATCCTGAAAACGACTCCCAATTATGGAAGGGTGAATTGCTGTGAACTGGCAATAATTTGGTTTTAGTGGGCCATTTCGAGGCCTGTATTACCCTAGCTGCACTGGGTGTAGCTAGAGACGAACAAAGAGTTATACACATTCCTAATATGGCAAGAATAATTCATTCTCTCAAAGGAAAGAAAAAACAAGTCTCCTTCATTATAAAACACAATTGGGAAGCGCTTATCCCTGTAAACTGGCTTGTTGAGACATCTCCTACATGTCCCCCCAAACATAACAGTTATTTAGAAGGCAAAGAAGGATGCAGTTGGCTTTTAACTTGTCAAAGTAGCTGTTCCTATCTCTGTTAGACTTCTGGTTGCCTAACTGATCGCACAACTTGCTCAAGTTCAAATACTACAATATCTAGGGGAGGGCTATCTTTTGGGATATTGCAGTCTGCTAATATCGTCTAACTTAGTGGTTCTCAACCATTGGTGCTTCATAAAGCTCTTGTGGATCGACGGAGGTGATGGAGGACCCTGTTTGTGGTGGGCGGGAGGGAAAGGTGTTAGGTTAATTATGATAATGATTTAATAAATGAATATAACTAAGGGGTAGGTGAAGTAGATTTCTCTCATTGATACACACACGAGAAAACCTACACGAAAATTGGCATGTTTCTTTTCAATCTAAAAAAAAAAGACAACCTTTATTGCCGGGCTTGATTGGTGAGGCAGGAGGGCTTCGCGGACCCCTAGAATGCCTTCGCAGACCCCAAAGGGTCTGTGGACTTTTGTTTGAGAACCACTGGACTCTAACTCAACACCAGCCAGTTGCCATTATATATTTTTAATGCCCTTGTTACTGTGAAATGATGTTGCTTAGGAGTGTTGTTTGTTGAAACCTTTGCATAATGCTGGCTGTCGGGAGTGTTATAAAACTCTTAAAGCAATCTGTTGCAACGTTGGAAAGGCTCACGAAAAAATTTTGGTGCAACAGGAATCGATAGATTGATGTCTGGGATTAAACAGTCCCAATGTTGTAGGAAGATTAAAGTTGTCAGTGGCCTGTTGAAAAGTCTAGATGTGTTGTTGATCATTGTACCTGTGCAAAGCAGTGACTTGATTCTGAATAAGCTAAGAAGTTGTAAGTTAGCCATGCCTGAATGCTCATAGTTCATTAGACAAACATACTGGTGAATCGGGTTTAGGTATTGACAGAAAGTCTTTTGTCTTACCTCAAATACATTATTAAAATGATTCCCATATGATGATCTCACTTAGGTAACCAGTTTAACTAAAGTTAAACTATGAATCTACTGAACTATTTGCATGCACCCAACGCTCTACTTGGATTCAAGAATGATTTAAAAAAATTGTGAAACACTTTTTTTTTATTAGTAGAGCTTTTCCATTGCACAATTGTGACAAAGAGCAAAGGGAAGTTTCCCATTCGACCATTGTGAAAAAGAGCAAAGAGTTGGCATGTCTACTGATAAATGTATCAGTTACTTCTTCGGAATTTGTTTCTGCCAGGAAATAATGTGCTACTCTTGTTTGCTATGAAACTTTTGGGAGCCCATGTCACATAAACGAAATGACCTGCAGTTGTGGGTAGCCCACAACTTTATCCCTCTGTCGTGAACGCACTTTTCCTGTTGCAGCTATTGATGCTTTGCCTCTAAGGGGACCAAGTGCAATGACTTTTAGTGCTGCGACCTCAGTGCAATCTGTGCAGTGCAATATACACTTAGATGTCACTAGACGTTGCTGGGGTATTTCGTCAGTCAAGAGCAAATGCAACCCACTTTTTGTCGGTTTCAAGTGTACATATCGGACTGTAGTATGAACACACATTTGTATACAGGTAGAAACTTCGTTGTTCAGAATAAAGGTATTTCCCCAGTGCAAGTCGAGTTAGTATGCCACTGGTGCCAGTGGCCATGGGCGACCTGGTCCAAAGCTATGGCATATCCGGAACTTCCCAGCGAAACGACGTCTGCCATATTAGAGACGTTTAGTAGATCATACACTAGAGCTTCGCTTTGCTAGTGGGAGCTCGCGCCGTCACTTCGAAGTATGGATTGAGCACGTGCCCGCTAGGCCCGCAATCTGCAGCGTACGGAGCTCAGTTCCAAAACTCGTCCCGCGAAGGTCTGAAATGAAGTAGCCACGTCCCCAACCCCAGAAGTTTGTAACACAATTCTGCAGGGTAAGAATCTTGGATACGTAGATAAGCCCGTGCACGGAGGTGATACTATGAATGTCCAGACAATGTTGGCAAAGTCGCGAGAAAAAATTCCACAATACTGGGACGGTGGCTGAGGTAAGATGGAGCCAAAAGACTGAGCAGCGGCTGATCACTTTATCATCTTGTCTGGCACATGCCTCCATGCCGTGGCTATAGTGTACCGCGGCACTTGCACTGCTCTCGTCAACCTTCACTACCTCCCCCAAAGTGTGAGCGTCGAGCTTCACCCCCTTTCACCGGAAAGCTAGGAGCAGCGGCTGACTTGGGGGAGCGTCTGGGAAAATGCGATAGGCTCGGAAATTATGCTCAGTACTATATTACAGGTCGACATTCTTTGATATTGGTCATAGATTGACCTTTGACTTTAGAAAGCTGTGCCGAGAAAAAGACGAAAACGCGGATCTGTACTTGAATAAATGGGGCAATGAAACGTAGTTCCCGTGCAGCAGCCGATCGAAAGAGCAGAAAACATGGACTCAATTCTGGTTCCAATGCGCCGCTAAATCGGAGTCACTTTTAGGGCAGAGGTGTAAGTTTTGTGAGTTTTTGTCTTTGCAGTTTATCATATTAGAATCTTGAGTTTGGTAGGTTCATAAAACTTGGGGGACGTATTTTAATTCATAGTCATTCTAGCGCATATGCTGACTCTTGCCGGCTTCTCATGTAAACTATATTTACAGGCTAAACAAACTACCGAGTGTAAAAGGAGGAGGAAGAGGAGAAAGGCTTTTTTTCAACCGAAGTGTTGCACTATGATTCATTTTTCAGCAATTATATAAACACCCATTGCAAATGGAGCCACCCACCTGAGTCTGGATTCTAAAAAAATAATTTATGTTCTTTTTGCGTCCTATCTATTCTTATTACGAAATGTAGTGAGCAGTATACTTCAGTGTCAAATAGAAATACTTAATCTTTATCAAAGGTGAACTCATTTAGCGATGCCATCACTTTTAATTTTGAAATGATGTGCTAACAGATGTCCATATTTGCTCCAAAAGCATAAGTGGCTGCTCCAAATTACTATTTTGCTGGCTACTAAACCCGCTACAAAACGTCAAATTGCGCTTCCATCACACAGGGTTACGTCATCAACGAAGAGTTGTCATGAATCTGACACTAACTACGCTGCCCAGTTTCCAAGTGTTGAACATTTGTGGAAGCGACCACCCACCTCAAGTAGCGCTTAAAATCATCCTCACTTTGTCGACTAACATTCTTCTCAACAATAGGCGCAAGGGAAAAAATGATGCCTTAGTGCAGACTCAGTGCAAGGTCTGCTCCACCCAAAAAGCTACTGTTGTAATTACAAAAAAAAAAAAAAAATAGCGTTGTGAAAAGGAAAAGAAAATTGTGTAGGAACTACGCTATCTCTGTACATTGTATCCACACCCTTAAACACGAGACGGAGGCAAAAAGGAAGTTGTCTCATGAGTTTATTTGTTACATGATGTCCTTCTGACACTTAGTAGTCGATCAGTCGCATTTCGTGCCGCATTTGCTTACTTCACTCTCTTAAAAAAAAAAAAAAAAAAAAGACTATTTCTGGTGGGAGTTAGAGAGCGTGCTGCTAGTTTTATTTTATCTTTCGGGGAGCGTCTGGCGGGCGTTATGCATAAAATACTACTTCACATATTTCCTAGTTGTATGGTAAGCATGAACGTCAAACATATGTTTCTAGCTAAAATATTTGATATAGCAACGCAGCGCTACGGTTTTATAAAGGGGATCAAGTTAAATAATCGTGGAAAGTGTGTAATTCGATTAATTGCGTCGTCGTCACACACGGGTAAGTGACATTCGTACAATATCTCCAGTCGAAGCTACAAGCCAGCGCGTCGGCACAGCAAACCAACACACAGCCGACTGTTGCTTTTTCGCTCGCTA